GATTTAAATGAAACGGCATATATAGCTGCTCTAGTTCCTCTTATTCGAGCCAGGTTTTGGTAAAACTAGCGATCTGTTTCAGTGGCTTCTTGTAATTCAACCCCCAACCACTGACACACACACAAACACAAGACATTTGAACTGACCTTGAGGAAGTTTTATGTCACCTTAACCACATAATGAGTGCACTGAGTATTTCCTCACATGTTCACATCCACTAGTTTCTGCAGTTTTCAAAGAGGAACTGTGCGCATGTGCTTGCATACTAACTGTTTGAAAGCTGGTAGGTAGGAGTAGATGGCAATGCTGCTGAGGTTGTAGATAAAGGGGAGGTGTTTGGAAATATCTGCCGTCGCCCAGGTGTTAAAGTAACTGTTGAGAACTCCCTGATCCCCACCTGAAGACAAAGACAAGCAGACAAGCATTATCAAATACACTTCACGATATAACGCATAACAATGAGAGGTAGCCAAAAATACACAATAGTCTTTATATTAGTGATAGCAGACAAATTACTTGAAAAGAGCATTTGACGCTTTTAATTTAGTGTCTTTCTAATAAAGGATAAAGATGTTCTTCAGTTTCTGGCATTTTCACCTCATCTGACCGCTCTTCTCTCACTGCTGTAATCCACACACACACACACTATGGTAGTTACAAGAATACCCACCACCATTGCATTCTGTACATTCCCACAGGCTGTGTCCTATCTGACATGTAAAAATAGAAGCTGAAAGGGTGTGCTACAACGCTGTGGGAAGATACAATGAGTAACAACATATGGCAAAAACTTTTTTTAGATTTCTATGATTTAGCTATTTACTGAGTCACAGACTCAATTCTGATCATAGAAGTAGCTTTGATCTTTCGTCCACTTGATTTCTTTTTGTTTTTAATTGATTTGGGAATTGCTTTGGTTGCTACCTTAGCTAAATCATTGATTTTGATATGGGACTTCCTGAAACGACATAGTAAAATAAAAGTAAAAAGGTTAACAAAAACACTTATTCTGGTGCCATTTTCCATCACGTTCATGCGTGCACTGTCCAAATATAACCAGGGCTTTTAAAAGAAAGCACAGTTTATTCAGATACTCAAACTTGTTTATTCAAAGAAACCCTCTGCAACGAGTCATTCTGTGGACAGATTATCTGAGTTCCTATTACTTTCAAGAGATGAGAGTGTTTAGTGTTCACACTAAATACCACCAGCCATTCCCACAAAAGGCTGCCTACAAGGCCACTAAGAAGACATTTGGAAACCACTTTTTACTGAAAAATATAAATATTTTTCTCCATCATGCTGCCAGGAACAGTGATCTCAACCATATAAGTTGTTAACAGCTACTCGATATATTGCAGCAGTGATTTAAACAGATATTCATGATTCCCAGAGATTTACTTCAGGAATGCCTTCCTTTTGCTTGATGAGCATATAACTACAGCAATGAGGAAATAGCTCTCATCACCTTTACTGAGCAGGTTAAATAATGGAAATTGTAAACGTTTTATCTGCAGTTTAGCTGTTAGAGTTTAAGCACGATAAGACAAGAAGGACCACAGCTGGCCCTTACTTTTCACTGTAGACGATATTATGTGTGGATCTATTTACACAGATTCACTTGCCATCAAAGCTGCCATTTTCACCACAGAATGTGATGAGCTTCTCGTGGGTCTCATTGGATGGTCTGAAGACAAATACCCCAGAGTTGAAACAATCTGGCCAACCAGGATCTGGAGCAGCAGATAACTCCTCTCTCTCAAAGAGTTCATCTATGTTGGACAGCACCTGAATGCATAAATATAGATGTATTAAGAATCATTCATGAAAACGGGAGAGGTTTGAGAAGGAAAGTATTTTAGATGTCCACTGTGTCTTTACATCGCTACAAAAAAAGAGCCAATGCTGTGTGGTCTTTGTGCTGTTAACAGATCTCTTTCTCACCAGTGTGTCAGCGTCCATGAACACACACTTGCTGTACTGCGTGAGCGTCCAGCAGTGCAGTTTGGTGAACGTCACCCCCAGGTCCGGACGCTTCATCAAGGCCAGATGAGCTGAATCGCCTGAATCCATCACGTCCACCACATGCACCTCATCAAAAATGGAGCGCAGCACATCTCTATAAAGCAGACGGTATGATTTACATCAGCATGTATGTCACCTCTTATCCTCCGGTAATGGCTAAACAGCTGATGCTGTTACCTGCAAGGTTCTGCAACATGTGGCCCCACGAGAGCGACCAGCTTCCTGGTTGTGTTGTGGCTTCGTAACGACTGGCCGAGGACCATCGCTCCCTTTGCATAGCTGTCATTTGTGGCCAGTGTCACAAAAGCTTGGTCTGTTTGCAGAAACACACACATTCACACACTGAGCCAGAAGAATAATGCATCATAACATTACTGCCATAACTTCATGTGTCTTTCAGTCACAGGCTAAAAACATTTATACATTCCGACAGCTTTAAATACAAATATCTTAAATACCATCTTTCTGCAAAAAGACTGGAAAAAGTGCATTTTATTTTACACCTAAAGGTGTCAACAGCAGGTCCCACAGGTCTTTTCATTCAGCTCTGTATTAAATTAAGTAAGAGGTGAATTATCATTGCAGACTGCATTTCATTTCGCTTTATTTTCTTAAGATTCTCTTTTCTTTTCTAGTGAAGGCCTTTTCACCAACACATTTACATAAATGTATATAAAAATATTACTGCTAATAGAAGCAGTATTACTAATTTTGAGTAAAACCAACTAAACCCGTGGCCCCGCTTCCACTTTTCCTCTAAAGCAGACATCAATTGAAGCCTCATGATCCCCTTCTGCAATTACCGTAATCTCCTGCATCAATACAATTCATTTTATCAAATTTTATTCATCCTAAAACCAGTTATGCAAAGGTCAGCGTATGATGAGTCCCCAGAGCATAAATTAGCAACCACAGGGGGCAAGCAATGTTGAGGGAAAGCAGGCCTGGAGCCAGCTGAGAGCATTTATCAAGCTGAACGTATGAGCTGTCGGGGGGCTTCTGAGAAACCTGACCCACGTGGCTGTGTTGTACAGTTGCTAAGATCTTATTCAAGGAATTCTAAGCGGACTGTTTCAGCGTACAAGAAAGGCTTCTCTCACCTACAGGGCAGAACAGGAAGCATGTGTTGCATTCTCACAGGGTTAAACGTGGCTACATGAAGCCTCGTGACCTCTAGGTATGATGTGAAGAATGATGATTACCCAGTTCAAAATGTGAAGTCTGCTCAAAAGCCTCCTTTGTTTACGAAAATCACATTTGTCTTTATTTGATATAAACTAATCAGAACTGTTGCAATCAATGTGCAATGATTATAGTAGATGAAAACAAGTATGGCTTTCTTTTAAAGAACATGTGATCCCAAACCTTTGAGTTGCAGTTGCTTGTTTCATGAGTAACCTGTACTGGAAGCAGACAACTGCATACATAAGTAACTGTTAGTGTTACAGTGTTGTACACACATTATAATAGTAATTATATAAGTATATGTTCCATATTAAATCGTTAGCCACATTAAGACTTTCACAGTAACACACAGAGAGACACTAAAGATGTTTTAGTGTACTGACAGGAAGGGGGAGGAGACAACTTCAAGCCTACATACAGCAGCGCACGTCCACATTGAGAAACAAAGTGAAGTTAATTGAACAAAAACAGGAAGTTAACAATGTATTTCTAAAAAAATAAAAGCACACGTAAGACGCTGAGGGATAAAGTCTAGAGAAAATTGTTACCTGTTTGAGTAGAGGGGAGGGCAAGCCATAGAACAATCAAAAACAGACTGAAAAGGTTTACACGGCTTCTAAACAAGTATTACATTTTGCTGCGTACACTGATTTTCACTGAAAAAGAAAAAATATATCTAAAAATGCAAAAAGCAGATTTGCAGATCAAAACTTGTTCAGTTTTCTGGTTACAGACTAATCACTTGATCAGTGCATGGATACAGCCTCATGCTTCTCTACAAGTAGATGTACAAACCTTTGGTGAAAAATAAAATGCCAAAACCACTCACATTTGTGTACTGTAAATATGCCACCAGCTGGCTTTCAGTCTTGGTCCTAGGCTTATCCAACTCACTACAGTTTGTATGATGAAATCATGACTGTGGGTGAGGTAACACAGGGAATTCCCACATGCCCACCCTGTGAAATCCAGATGTACTTATCAGCTATCGGCATACTAATTAGAGTTAAACATCCATGTAAGACTAAAAATGTTAGCTGATAGGGAGCAACTACAGTAGTAATTGTATTTAAGGCTATATTTTGGTCTAAGCACCTCAAGTCTGAGTATTCAATATCCTTATATTTATGCTGCTTGTATATATAAAATAGCATAACTTTGAAGACCGATTGTTTTAAAATTACTTTAAAATTACAGTACAGCAATAATGAAAAAACTGCAGGTGTCTCACCTTTTAAAGAATCTTTTTCATGCTTTACTGACGCATATGTACAAATTTATGTGGCGTTTAAATGAGTCAATAAATTCAACAGTAAGAGCTTTGACTGTTATAACACGTGGTGACACAAGGTACGCCTCCAGCTTTTCTAAACATTGTAACAAGTGTCTGCATATTTTGTGATAGTTTCGTCTGCTTGAAGTTTTTGGGTTGTTTTTTTATGGACTAATGTTGCCTGAAATAAAGGTGAATTTAAAAAAACAAACAAAAAACAACGGTTTGTTAGATCCGTAGTTGTTTGTACGTTTGTACCTTTTTAATCGCTTAAAACTACTCCGATTTTGACGCTTGTGACCGGATGTGCTACTTTTCACCATCGCCAGCTTTACTTTGGTCCAAACCTCTGCAGAAACTCATCAAAGCAACTCTATGACTACACAACCATTTAAACCACTAAATCGCAACTTCTGTGCACCACATGAGCGTGGGAGCGGGTGCTGCAGCCGCTCTAAAGCCCCAGAGTTTGACTAGTACGCGTTGGTATTTCGGAGGATGCATGCAGTTCGTGCAGCTCAGCTCCGGTCCGGTCCGGTGCGACCGGGTTCCGATGTCAGTGTAACGTCTGAGAGAGTCAGTCAGTCTCTTACCCGACATGGTGCGCTTAGGAGGGTCCACCCAAGGGTCGGGGGTCGTGATGGGGAAGACGAAGGGCTTGCACTGCGAAGGGCAGAAGCGCAGCAGCTGGGAGCAGTCCAACACAGGAATTAAGCCCCACATTTTCCGGGTCACGTGACCACTGACAGCTGACACGGCCCCCTACGTTTGTCTCTTTCCGTAAAACTTTATTTGTGATGGTCTTCATCACAGACAAAAGCCATCTTTTTACATTTTTTTTAATCAGTTAGGTAATTAAGGATGGGTATTTTCCTGATTTTGAGTTACGTTTTTATATGTTTAAAATAAAAATGAAATTAGAGAATTTATTTTAAAAAATCAAATTAAATGGGGCAAACTATATAAAGTTTACAGTCTGACATTAATATGCAAAGGTGAAAGTGTAAGTCCCAAACATCATAAGTATTCCCATACGTCATCCTAAAGGAAAATTTAGCGTCCGTTGTCATGGAAACGATGACGCTGCAGTCCTTCGGGTGATGTTCGGATTCGGGTGATGTCCATGGAAGAGAATCACTTTCACTTTGACATAATGGCACCATTATACTCCCCTGCTGAGGTTATAAATGGGAACTGGCTTTAGTCGAAGGGCAGAGTTATTTCTGCCGAAATTCTCAGAGACAAAACTTCTGCTGAAATCAGGAAGTAACAGGGTTTTTTTGTTTGTTTGTTTTAGGTATTTTATTCTGCAGCCTAAAACGTAGATGACTGTGAATTTAAGCATGCATTAATTTTACGAATTTTGTGTGAAATTATGTATTTTGTGTGTTATAAGAGTATTCACCTATATATGCATTATAATATGCAATGAATATACCACTACACATTTCTTTTGTTGCTTTTAAATAAGTATATAAATATGTTCTCCACTTCAGTAATGCAGACATTTGTTTTGCTGGAATTCTACCCTTGAGTATGACATGCGTAAGACTACCCTCAAATGAGCAATATTTCATTACATTTCATACCTTAATAGAGTAACATTCATTAAGTTTATATATATATCTAGATATATATATATATATATATATATATATAAAAACTCCAATGTTGTCAGGGCTAATCATGCCTGATTGAACAAATTGACTCTTAAGTACATTTTGGTGATAATAGTTTCCAACGCACAGCTTTTACAGGAAAGAATATCTGCAGTAATCTTACCTTTGCAGGAAAATGATCTGGTGATTTATATAATTCAAGGACACAAGGTAGTAACACAACCTAATTTAGGCTAAACTTTAATTTTCCTTAAAGTTCTGACTACAATCCAGATTTTGTTCGAGGCCTAATAAGCCTCAGATTGTCAGAAATGACCTTCGCTATATTTGTCCACCTTTCCAACAAAAACAGGGAGATCCTTTGTACTTCAGCTGCTAAGTAGTTGAGTGTCAGATGTCAGATCATTAAGACTGAGGCAGCACTGCCTCACCGTGGTAACACATCCTCATTACAATGGAACAAAGCATGAAAGGCTCAAACGCACACTTTAATGGTGCTACTACTGTAAAATGAACAAAGTAAAGTTTCTGTCTGTTTTGATGCAATACATGTCTGCAATACATTTAATAAACATAAGTAACTGTCTCTTCTTTGTACTGGCTTTTGGGTGTTTTTCTAAATTTTCTTTATTCTTGAGTGCTTGAAAAAAAGACAGCTGGACAGATTTTTGGCCGATGAAGACCGTCCACCTCCCTTTCACCTTCTAAGAGGCTTCTTCAGCTGATGCAGAGTCTCAGGCATTAGTGCAGTTGGCCCGTTAGAGGTGGTCCTGAGGGTTGTTGACCCACAACTAATCACATGAGCTGTAACACGAGCCAAAGCCTTAAAACAAGTGTGGGTCAGTGACCCCCAGGACATTATCCTGATCAGGTACAAAATGCATTCGAATAAAACTGAAGGCTTAAAATATTGTTCTAAGCATGAAATACGCTGTGTGTTTCACTTGATTCTGTTTTCATTCTGGGCTTCAGTTAAAGCACCAGTAGTAGTGAACAGACCATTCAGACAATATCTACTTAAATAACTATTTCAAGCTTTGATCAGTATGTGTTTTGCTCCACTTTAATTAAAAAAAACTCTTTCTGTGTACAAGAGACAATTATGGGGAGAATGGTTGCGCTAATATGTCATATAATAGTCACACAAGTCAGTAAGCTGTCTCATTAGTGATACTTTCACAGCAGTTACATTAACTATTATGAGCTAATAGTCCAAACATGTAAGAGTGCAGAATGTTGACTGCCAATGCACTAATTACTGAAGGGACATTTTCAAAGTTTGGCCAAAGGGACTGAACTTGTTTGATATATGCATTAATATGTGATAGATTGGCAGCTATTTAAAAGAAAATGATGACAAATGATTAGACGAAGTCTACAAAAAGTAAGATTTGAATCTTTTAGTATTCTGATGAGCAAAAATCTGGATTTTTACTGGATGTTGTCATGCCTGCATTCTGTGTAACAAATGAAAGTTTGATGATCTTTAATAATTTAATATCATTAGCAAAACAATAACAGCTGCTAAAGTAAAAGCAGCCTATAAGCCGCATTCTCAAATAATGCAAATAATTTGAATTTTAAATGTACCCTGTATATAACTCCAAGCTATTTGAGTCTCTCGGTGTACTTTTGTATATCTGTGTGGCTTTTACTTGGTTCACCTTTTTGTGTATGTGCTTTTAGATAAAGTGAATAATGCAGGAGGCCCTTGAGAAAGTCTTTGATGGCTGGTACACTTTTGCACTACCAACTGAACCAATACAGCAGCTCATACGTCAGCAGCTGACAGAGGAGTGCTTACCTGAGAGTAACCGGAGAGCACATCAGAGTCACCGAGTGAAAACAGGCCGATCAAGTGTCAGAGGAAGAAAAGACTCAAAGGAAGGAAGGAAACAAAATGATGGACTCCTTGGTCTGTGTGGATGCAGGGAGTAAATACTGTATCTTAGTGATCAGAGATAAAAATGCATTTAGTTCATCTTAGTCAAGAAGGGAAGATTTGTACAAACTTGTCTTTGTTCTGCCTGATTATGACACGTATCAGTCTTTTTGACTGATACGATGGGAGAAATGAGAGAAGAACAAGCTCAGAGGTAAACAAAGAGAAAAGGAGAGAAGGAAAGTTTAAAAAAAAAAGGTTGCAAGAACAGAACGAAAAGGGTTAATAAAAAACAGAGGGTGAAAAAAAGTAGTGTGGAAAGGAGAACACGGAAGAAAGGAGTACAGAACCGACCCTCAGCAAGCTGATTTTCAACTCTGGACTAGCTTTGCTCGGGATCTTAAGCCCTTCAGCCTGCATGGGACTGGGAGTAAGCTCATTATTTTTGTTCTTTTCTCACATTATAGTTACAATATGCAACAACATTCTCAAGTAGTAGTCTCAAGTGAATTTTACTGTTAAAGAAGTGCAATTATCTCCAACACTAGGCTCATTTGAAATGTGAAGCGAGGAACATGTTTTTAAAAATTTGCAACTGACTGAAAACTTTTGTAAAGCTAAAAAAGCACCTAGTTGAACATGATCGTTAAGACTGTTCGAGTCTCACTGTTTGAGAATCTTAAAACGCTTCCCTGTATAAGTTATGCACGTCACTGCAAGGGGCTAAATCAAAAGTGATCCAGAATCAGTGCAGCCTTCACTGAGCTGGGTCATTTGACCTCTGACTAAATATTAGTGCTTCTTGAAGTTAAAAACACAATTAATCCTGAATGATATGTGAAACATCTGCTGTTATCCAGTTATCTTGGTCAGACAATCATTTTTTAGCGCAGTAAGAGTCAGGGTGCTAAACTAGCCTACATGTATAGTCCAAACTGATAAACCAGTGGAAATATGGGGTAAGCTCAGAAAAACAGAAAAAATGAGCCCAGCTGAAATCATGAAGCAAGTAACAGTGGGAAGATTTGGCTTTCAGAACGCTTACAGTGTTGGTAGCACAATAAACACCTGTCCCAACTTTTTTTGAAATATCCTTTGACAAGACAATCAATTTTCTCAGTTTTAATGTAATATATTTTGCAAATTATTTCATTCTTTTTTTATATGTCATTTTTACACAGTGTCTCGGGATGAAAAAACATTGACTGGACTATAGCAGGTCAAATTTCACAAATTCAGCAGCAACTTATTAATATATAAAAAAGAAAGCAGAGACCTACAAAGATAAAGATAACGATAAAGGTGGAATAAAGTTGGAATGAGGAGGAAGTAGCAGTGTTGTTGTGACGTGGACCATTTTAATCTAGGTGATGCAGTTGGCTCCGTGCCTCAGGTTACAAGGCATTGTGTGGCAATGAAGCAAGCTGTGCAAGCCTCATGTTTTAAACATGTCTAACTTAAATGCTAAATGTGATCCTGCCTCCTTAAAAAACAGCTGCAAATACAAAATATAGTCAACATTATGCACACATGTTTCACATGCTTTACTTTTTAAACATGTGAGTCAGTATAAGTGTATCACAGTTATACTAACTAAAGTTACAATTCAGTTCATTGTGTGGCTTCATGCTTTGCAAAATAGCCTTTGGTAATAAATATTTGTGTAGCTGTTTCAATGTGACTAAATTTAATGTAATTAACTAAAAATTATATACTATCCTACAACTAATGGCTGCTTATTAACCAAAGCATTAAAAAGTTAACTGTTTAATTTTAGTGATGTGAGCCACAATGGTAGCAGTCATAGTTTAGTCATAGCTGCTAAAAAAAAAGGCCAGCCAGCAATGTGTGAAAGAGAAAATAAAAAAGAGCTTCCAAGTTATTAAAAGTACTTGATATCACTCTAATCTGATCAATAAACTGAAGATGAAAAGTCCAAAGTATAAAAGCAACAAGTCATGGTTTTGCAAGGTGTGTGCCCATGCGTCCTTTCTTCGTGCTTCATGCTACATTAAAAGTCTTGTGAATTGAGACTGGTATTCAATTTTATTCAGGTAATTTAAGCATGCTTATCTATTACTAAGCAAACGTCAGCTCTAACAGAGCAGTCAGGGTAAAAAAAAAAAGTAATATTTCTATTGTCAAACTGCAGGCTGTGCATTTGGAAAACATTTATTTATATATGCATGTGTTTACCTTTTTTTCAGCTCCCACTACTCTGGGATGCAT